AAAAGGTATATTAAGGAATTTTTATGATTGTATGTAAGTGTTCCCCTTGATGTCTTTCTTTTCCTTTTTAATTTCATGATTTCCTGAATTGATAATACATACAAACAATACAGCATAAGATATGTAATTTAAAAGATTCCTTTTGTATATATCCCCTTGTCATCCTACCTAAACACAGCTGCTGTTACTAGTGTTTTGGAGAACATTCCAGAAATAGTCAATATGCAGACTGGGCCAGCCCTGGTAGGATAGAGAACTAACAGTAACTCAAATCAACCAAGAAAATTACTTTGGAAGAAGGCTACATTATTAGCATTTTTCATAAAATCCTTGGGATATAATTGAAGATAGAAAATCTTTAAAATTGAATTTTAATGCTGTTCAGAAAAGAAGCACCTCATAGTCCCCAGCCAAGCACAGATTGGTAGGGTCGGGACAGTTGCTTTATCCAAGGGACAGGCTTGTTAGACAAGCATTAATCAGCTCCAGTGAGTCAACTCTGACTCATGGCAACCCCATGTGTATCTCAGTAGAAGTGGGCACTGCAGGTTTTCAATAGCTGGTTTTCTGGAAATAGTTTCCAGCTTTCTTCAAAGGTACTGCTAGATGGCCTCAAAGTCCCAACCTTTTTGGTTAGCAGCCAAGGAATTAACTGTTTGTACCACCCACGGACTACCTACATGCATTTATACTTATATGTCCTCCTTTTGCATACACAAATGGTAGCACACCACACACATTATTCTGAATCTTTATAAAAATTTATTGAATATATACATTCAACTGACTACACACTTTTCAAGTGTACAGCTCAATCATCTTACTTCTTGAAAAAACTTTCTACTTAAAAAAATCTACTTTTATATTATTCCCCCCTCAATACATACAGAGTTACTTCATTTTCTTTGTTAGCTACATCATATTCTACTATTTGGATAGAATTGTCAGGGAAGGCCTCTCCTTTGCGTTTTACATGATCGATGTATGTATGGATTGTGATAAGAGTTGTATGAGCCCCTAATAAAATGATTTTTTTTTAAAAAAGAAAAAACTTAAATGTTCATCAATGGATGAATAAACCAAATGCAATTTTAAAAAAAAAAGAGGTTTATTTGAGCCAAAGCCTAAGTCATGAGAAGGAGGCAACCATATGAATACTTGGGAAGAATATTCTGGGCAGAGAGAACATTAGATGGAAAAGCAATGAGGTGATAATAAGCTTGGTCTAGTCATAGAACTAAAAGAAGCCAGTATAGTTAGGATCACAAAAGCAGTTATAAGTGGTTTCCTCCTGGCTCCCCTTACACACAAAGGTCACGCCTATCTCCTGCTCAGAATGCCCTCCCCCACATCCCCACCCCCACCCCCCCAGCCCTGTATAGTCTTCCCTGAGAAAGATGGGACTTTACAGTCTCAGAAACTCACAGGGGCAGTTCAACCCTCTCCTCTAGGGTTGCTATGAGTTAGCATTGGCTTGATGGCAGTGAGTTTGTTTAAAGTTTAAGCACTGCAGGTCGTGATTGCTCTTCTTCCTTCCTACCCAGAGCAGTTATGCAACTCGGAGCAGAGTAGCTTGACCAAGGTCACACAATAATAAGTGGCAGAGCCAAGAATAGATCTCCAGCCTCCTGACTTCAGGATTCTTTTCCCTCATAGTGCAAAGGACCGGGACAGCAGGAAGATAGGTCCTTTCTTAGTGACAGAGGTTACATAGAAGATTCTAGGTCCTGGCTCAATTGAATGACTCAGTTCTTAGCCTTTCCTTGGCTTAGCTTCCTACAGTGAACAGAGCCAATCACAGGAAGCTAATTAAAGTAGAAGGAACAGGAAGAAAGGAGGCTGGCAAATAGCCCAAATGCCAGGGTCAGCCTTAATGTACCACTCAGAGGTGCCACAGGAATTTCAGAATGTCT